ATAAAAACTCATTTGGTTTTATCTCTTACAGTGTTAATACTGAATTCAATATTGTATAACTGTATTAATTCAACTGTGAACCTAAAAACTTGTACCCACTTGTGAAAGAGAGGTACTCTTGCTGTGGAGTGTGTTACTGAATATGTTAAAACTGTAGTGAAATGTTTCTTCTAATCATGTAGTTATTAAATTTCCTTAGTAATTAGTAGATGTAAAAAACATTACCATTGAAATCTACCTGATGACTTTATATCCATGCTCAGATGCCAAGAGGCTCAGAAAGTAACCAACTGTGAATAGTAATAATAAGATATATATAGAGATTAGAAACGCATGTGCAAAAATCTTAGTGTCAATCGCATTAAAAATGAATTTTTCTGTGTGAAACTGTGTATTTTAATAATGAAACTGAGATCTTTTTAAAGCTTAAAACCTCATTTAATTTTATGTCTTACAGGGTTTATACTGATTGCAATATTGTATAACTGTATTAATTCAATTGTAAACCTAAAAATTTACAGCCAATTTTGAAAGAGATGCATCTGAGCTCTGGAAATTGTTATTGAATATGTCAATGCTGTTGTGATGAAATGCTTCTTCTAATTATGTGGTTATTAAATAAATAATTTTTAAAAAAGAAGAGAGCATCAGATCCCTCTGGAACAGGAGTTACAAATGGCTGTTGGCCACCATGTGGATACTGGGAATTGAACCCAGGTCCTCTGCAAGAGGAGCCAGTGGTCTTAACAGCTGAGCCATCTCTCCAGCCCTTTGTGCCTCATTTATAATGACTTAAGAAAGGATACTTCCTACACAAATGAAGATGCCTTTCTTCTGAGTCAACCCAGTCATCAGTGCTCACTTCATTGTCCAGCTCTTGGTGGATACATTTCAGTGGAGAATATACACCATAACCAGGGCCTCACTGGCAAGAGATTCTGGGGGTTGTAGTTTGTGGATGACCTCCCCATTAATACTGACGGTGGTTCATACACTGGGGGTGGGAATGAGCACTAAGGGAGGCCAATGAATTGCCAGCTCTCACTGAGCCCTACAAATCCCTACAGCGCAACCTACTACTTGGTTTCTGTAGTTTAGTAGAAAGAGGCTTTAGAGCCAGGATTCCCCAAACTTCAGGTCCCACCCCCATCAATTATTAACTCCATAATGAGATAGATTACTGAGCATTGGTTGTCAATCTCGTGATATTGGTCAATAAGCAATTCGCTTAAAGCAAAAAGCCCCAGCACACAGTAATTGTGAGACCTGTGATTATGATGTTGGGTGCACCTGACAAAGGTCTGTGTTGTATCTTGGCTGTCAACTGATTGGACCTGGAATCAACTGAGACATAAGCTTCTGGGCACATATGTGAGGCATTTTCTTAACCATCCTCATGGACTGTATGCCAGGCTGGGACTGCTGAGAACTCATGGACTGTGAAGCTACTGGAGCCTCAGCCTCTGCAGGCTGCCCATTATTGGACAACCCAGCCCATATCGTGTAGGCCAACCTAAAATATCTCCTTTTAATCCATATTCACCCTGTTCCTTTACAGAACACTTATTAATACAAGATCACTACATCTGATTTGTATTTCAGTGTCATAACTGCCTGACCACATCAAGAATTCTAGTTCAGAAGCCTAACACGTCCCACTGTCCCCAGAGCTGTCTCCTGCAATACCCAAGATGTCAGAGAAACATATAAAAGATGATTAGTCAATATATTCTCATTGGACAGAGAAAAGCACTGACTGTGAGCTCCCCAGAAGCCATGATGATGGCCAAGTTCGCCAGTCGGTTACAGCTGCAGACTGTGTGCATCTCGGAAGCTTCTAGGATCTTGCAGCCCAAAGTGGTCCATCTCCCATCCCCCACACTGGTGTTCCAGGAAACACAGATGGGCCTCTCAGACTTCTGCATTGGCTGAAAAAAAATCAAAGGTCCCAGTCACCTGAGAGTTATACTCTAATGGACTGAATGTGACCAACTCAAGAGCAACCCGGGGCCTGACAATGCAGGGGATGGGGAAAATGATGGTATCTCCATGTATAATATGCCTACTCCAGTGTGGCAGACCACATCCTATTACTACAATAAAACCACTCTCAGGACTGGGGAGATGGCTCAGTAGACAAGAATGTTTGCTGCACAAGCATGAGGAACTGAGTTCAAATCCCCAGCACGCATGTAAAAAGGAAAAAAAAAACGCATATGTGCATACCTGCCCACACTTCTGCACATGAACACATAAGAATGTGAACACATGTATACACACATAAAAAGCTACTGAGGACATGTTATCATGGCAATGGACATATATCTTGACTGCACTATCACCTTGATTGAAATATTGCACCACAGAGTCACAAAATGCTACCACTGAAGAAGTTCAATAAATACAGTCAGGATGTCTCTTAATAAAGGAAACCTGGGGTTGATTCCGTGCTCTTGAATCTATGGTCCTTTCAAAGGAAAAAGGCTGATAGTTTTTCAGATAAGTGATTCAGCAACTGGGGCAACAGCACTTCCTCAGTAGAGCGACAGGAGCCTCAGAAAGGATCTCACAAACCTGGATGTGTTCCAGGGTGTAGATAACTGGACTAGAGAAGTCCTCTTTCTTCTCCCCTGTCATGATGCCCCCAACAACACGGGAATTCATCTTCAGCTTCCTCTTGGACTTGGTCCAGGAGGTCTCATTGTCTTCAAAAAAGCGTTCATCCAAAACCAATTCCATGTGTGCAAAAGAGACAAAAGCCACTCCAATGGTCCCTGCATGCCCCACAAATGAAAGAAAAGTAAGAATTCTTTACACCACAGATAATACAGGTGACATGACACATGTGCACACACATACACATACAACATGGGCTAATATTCCACAAGTCTCACTGGTTTACTCTGAGTATTAAAATATCAGAGAACTTCTAGCTCAGTTGAGGATGGATAAAAAGACAGGGAGTCAAGGGGACATGAGAGCCAGGTGTGGTGGTGCACGACTTTAGTCCCAGCAGGAGCAGAAGCAGGAGGATCTCCATGAAATGGAGGCCAGCCTAGTCTACATAGGAAGTTCCAGGCTAGCTGGGGCTCTAGGAAGACCCTGTTTCAAAAAACCCAAAGGAGACCTGATAAAAGTGAAAAGCCCTCACCCTGGGAAAGAGCTCAGGGTGAGGGCTCTCTCCCACTGTCACTAATGTGACACTCAGTAAAACCACAGTGGTTTTCAAAATCTTGAAGAACAGGGCTGCAGAGATGGTTCAGCAGTTAAGAGTGCATACTACTCTTCTAGAGGACCCGAGTTTGGTTCCCAGCAACCACATCAGGTGACTCACAACCACCTGCAATCCATCTCCAGGGGTTCTGACATCCTCTTCTGGCCTCCACCGCCCACTACACCCATGTTCCCACACCCAAACTCAGACACCCCCACATACATATAATTAGAAACATTTTCAGAATAAAAATCACTTTGTTTTAATTAAGTCGCAAATAAAACTCAGCAAACTGGTTTAAGAAGGCCAAACATTCGCCCAGCCCCAAACTCCACACATCACAGTGAACTTCTGTGCAGTGAGCACATGGCCATTCGACAGTGTAGCTACTGATAACCAGGTTTACTTGGGGTCCACACTACCACTGTGAGTTACTTTTTTGTACTAAAGTAAAGTTGGTCATCAGAGCTGATTTTCCAATTCCTCAGTTAGAACTCCTGGATTAGAGAAGCCCTGCATTTACAAGTCTGTCCTGCTTCAGGACCTCGTTGAAAGCCTCGCAGAGCTGATGGCACTCTGCTTCTGGGCACACTCCAGAAACTATCTAACCTCAAAAAGGCAAGGGCCGCCAGACTGCTGCTCCATCAACTGGGTTCCCTGAGGCCCCTGGTAAGTGATGTCAGGGTTTGTGGGCTGAGCATCACCACAAGCCTCCAGGGATGGCATGCCCATGTGTGCCCCACAGCAGAGCCCACAGACACACCAGCTGCAGTGCTTGCCATATGGGCCATCAGGCCTGGTTGCCAGGGTACAGCAGCAGGTGGGCCAACTGCAGATGGTGCAGCTGCTGCTGGAGGCTGAGCTGCAGGCACTGGCCTGGGGGCAGCTCTCATCCAAAGGGCCAGGCTGGCCAGAGGGGGCACTCCAGAAGTACAGCAGCATCTTCCACATGGCATCCCGAGTCTGGGAGCACCCAGAGTCTAGACATGCTGAACTGGAGAAGCTGCTTTTGTCTTTAATATTCTTCCCTCCGTACATTCATGGTACATAGGACTGTGCTACCTATGGGCATTTTCATGAAAGGATATACCATGTTGAGCGCAGCCCCATCCTAGTTTATTTGCGGTGGTTATTTACTTTATTTATAGTTTATGTGCATGAGTGTTTTGCCCACATGTATATAAGTGCACTGGTGTCATACAGTGCAGCCAGCTGAGGCCAGAACAGGGTGTCAGATCCCCTAGAGCTGGAGTTACAGATAGTTGTGAGCCACCACATCTGGCAACTGAACCTGGGTCCTCCGCAAGAACAGCCAGTGCTCTTAACTGCTAAGCCAGCTCTCCAGCCCTTTCTTGGGGACAGAGTTTTCCTGTAACCCCAGCTAGCCTGGAACTCACTATGTAGATCAGGCTGGCCTTGATCTCACAAAAATCCATCTCCCTTGCCTCCCGAGTGCTGGGATTAAAGGCGTGCACCACCACGCCCGACCCCAGTTTCAGGAGGAAAGGGTTTATTTCAGCTCACAATCCTGGGTCATAGGCCAAACTTCAACAGCTAATGACATCACATCGGCAGTCAGAAGCAGACAGAAGTGAACGCACGCTGAGTGCTCAGTCTGTCCAGGGCCACCCACTAGGAGTGGAGCCACCTTCTTTCAGGCTGGGTCTTCCCACCTTGGTCAGGACAGCCAGGCTAACGTCACTAAACCACCCTTCGGTAACACACTTTTTTAATGTGTGTGTTTGTGAGGTAGCACAGTCCTGTGTACCATGAATGTACAGGGGGAAGAACCCAGGCAAACACGGCATGTATGTAAGTGCACCCGTGTCATGCAATGCCCGTGGAGGTCAGAAGAGGGCCTCAGATCCCCTGGAACTGCAGTTACAGATATTGTTGGCTTCCATGTGGGTGCTGGGAACCAAACCCAGGTCTTCTGCCAGAGCAGGCAATGCTCTTAACCGCTGAGCTGTCCCTCCAGCCCCGTACCAAGCTCTTTTATTAAAACAGAGCCGTTCTTTTTCTGCTAAGACATTCCTTTCTGCTCTCTCTACTTATTACTTGGCATCTAGTTTGATTATCTCATCTACATTTCACTCTGCTTTTGACCTGAAGTGTCAATCATGCTGTTGAGCACGTGAGTAACAATCTGCAGCCTGTGGACTACCTGGGATGGAGTGATCTGGATGATTCTGTTGTAACACACCCATGCCACTCATGTCTGTGCAACCTGTGAATACTTCTGCAGTATAATGACAGTTAAAGGGCTAGAGAGACACTCAGCAGCTAAGAGCACTGGCTGCTGTTACAAGGACCTGGGTGGGTTCAGTTCCCAGCACCCACATGGTGGCTAACAACTGTTTATAAATCTAGTTCCAGGGGATCCAACGCCCTCTTCTGGCCTCCAAGGGAGTTTCACACATGTGGCATACAGACGCATACGAAAATACATATAAATTAAAGATCTTTTTAAATGACAGGCTGAGGGGCTGGAGAGCCGGCTCAGCAGTTAAGAGCACTCGCTGCTCTTGCAGAGGACCTGAGTTCAGTTCCCATCACCCACATGGCACCTAATAACCATCCACAGCTCTAGTTCCAGGAAATCCGATACCCTCTTCTGCCCTCCACAGACAATGCATGCAGGTGGTGCACTTACATACATGCAGGCAGAACACTCATATACATAAAGATAAATTAAAAGTTGCTAACCCTGAAACAAATTAGCACTACCTAATAGAAAGAGTCTTCCCACACACATAATTTTGAATTTTCTAGAAGCTATATTTTGAAAACTAAAAAACAGGTAAAGTTAATTGAATAATATATGTTCTGGTGTAATTTCTGTTGCTTTGATAAAATATCCTGACCAAAGGCAACTTACAGAGGAAGAGTTTATCTGACTTACAGTTCCAAGTTACAGTCTATGGTGGTTTGAATGAGAAATGTCCCCACAGTCCCACGTATTTGAACACTTGGTCCCCGTTGATGCTGTTTGAGAAGGTTATGGAATTTTGAGGAGGCGAAGCCTTGCTGAAGGAAGTGTGTCACGGAGGTGGGCTTTGAGGGTTCATAACCATGCCCCACTTCCTGCTGAGATGTGATTGCTCAGCTTCCTGCTCCTGCCGCCCACCACCATGCCTCCCTACCATGACGGACTCATCCCTCTGGAACCATAAGCCAAAATGGACACTTTCATCTCCCAATTGCTTTTATCACAGCATCAGAAAAGTAACAAATATCCTAGTAAAAGGCATAATACTAAACTGACTCCTAATGGCTTACACCCACAGATCAGCATATCTCTCAAACATCATCAGAGAAGTTTCTTTTTTGCAGCAGATGATTAACACAGAGACCCACAACTGATCAACATGCAGAGAATAAGGGACTTCAGAGGGCTCAGCCCTAAATAGGACACGTATATCACCCCCTCCTCCTCCCAGGGCACAGGGACCATTGCAGACGAGGGAGCAGAAAGATTGTAAGAGCCAGAGTGGTGGATGACCACAGCAAACCCATGTTGTCTGGACGAAACAGGACAGGTGCACACATAAACTCACAGTGGTTGTGACAGCATGCACAAGACCTGTGCAAGCTCAAGCCAGACAAAATCCCAGCAGGGACAGGAGAGGTGAGCACAAAGTTCCACCTCTAGCTGAGGAACTATTGGTAATTGATGGCTGCTGGAGGAGGGAGAGTTAGCTTTCCCCAAAGACGTGTTTTCTGGGAGGCTGCTTGTACTTCAGTAGACTACACCCATGCCCATGCTGGTAGCACTTAGTGGACTCTGTGGGTTAAAAGAACAGGTGAAGCTGGCAGTGGTGGCACACACCTTTAGGGAGGCAGAGGCAGGTGAATCTCTATGAGATCGAGGCCAGCCTGGTCTACACAGCGAGTTCTAAGCCAGCTGGGGCTACAGGAGATCCTGGCTCAAAAACACCAAAAAAAGAGCACACGAAATTGGGAGAGAAAAGTGCTGTGGGCATAGGGAGAATTGGAAGGGAGGGAATGGAGAGGTAGACTTGCTCAAAGCACATTACATGCAATATGAAATTCTCAAACAATAAAAAGTAAAAATTCAACAAAATCAGAAAGGATATGAATAAATTCAGTGAATCCAAAGAGAACACAACCAGCTGAATAAAATAAGAAGGCAGCATGGGACAAGAAAGGCACGTTCGATGGCAAGAAGTACTGACCTTATCAAGCTGAGATTTTGTAAGTGAAAAGTTCAACAAATCAAATTTCAAAATTTAGCAAGGGGAGGGGTAAAGAGGTAGCTCATCAGTTAAGAGCACTGGCTGCTCTTGCAGAGGACCTGGGTTCCGTTCCCAGAACCCACATGGCAGCTAACGACCACCTGTAACTCCAGTTCCAGGGGATATGACGCCTTCTTCTGGCAAAACACTCATACAAATAAAATGAAAATAAAGATAAATAGATAGATGATTGATACATAGATAGATAGACAGATAGATAGATAGATAGATAGATAGAT